CGACCCATAGATCAGGCATGTGGTCCAGACTCGTATTTCGGAAGAGAATCACATTTCCTGCGAGACCATTTGCGTAGAATTCGACGATTCCCGTAGGACTCTCCAGGGGGGATCGCCCGAGCTGAGACACCCTGATCTGACTCGGTAGAATCGCTGGCCGATGCAATTGATAAAGTTAGTCTTGATTGGTCGTACCGTTGATCGCAGAAATCGCTTACGAGCAATGAGATTCTGCTGAGAAATCATGAAAAACTCTTTGACAGGCTTATTTTCCAATGAATCCATTCCGATTAGAGTTTCCCTTGGACGACGAGAGAGCTCGCAGAGACAGAGAATGCTTTTCGATTCGATAGCGGCGAAGTTCCGCAAGAACGCGCGTCTCGAGTCTCGAGCACAGGGTGAGCCCAAGTCCCGACGCGAAAGCAACGTCTCGGATCGAGACTGAGAGGCTGCTTTCGTGGGTGCTGTGTTGGAGTACTCAAGGGAGACCACCTCGGGAATGATTCTCATGCAGATCGGAACAGGAGTTCGGGACGATACGCTCAATTCATCCGATTCGAACACTTCTCTGATGGCATCGACGGAAGTTCCGTCGTTTGAGATTCTCTGCACCGGAAGCCAACCGCTCGGATGCAGAATGAGCAGACGTCTGAAGTATGAAGGGCCGCCTTGAGAGAGTCGTCGATGCGACGACACACAATGGGTCCCTCGATAGATTTGAGTTTTTTCCCGTTCCGTGTTTCTTCACGAGTTTGCGTGACTTGGATCAGACGGGAGGCGTCTTCTACAAACCGCAAGTGGCAGCCACGCCACGGCTCCGTCCGCCAAAACCAACTCCTTCTCATTCAGAAACGATTCTCCTCCAGCTGAAATAGCAGTTTCAGAAACCGGAGCTCAGATTTCGACGTCTGGTGGAGTCGATGACAAGGACAGACAGATTTCTCCGTCCTTCCGAGGCAACCCCGAGAAACGATTCGGTCTTCAATTGGATCGGACACGGGCCTCGGATCAAAACGCACAGGCTCCACGGAAGTTCCATGGAATAACTTGGCGGCTTCCCTGCGAGAGTCGAGGAAAGCCTGAGAGAATGAAAAGTCGGGGTGCCACAGCCAGTTTTGGCCGTGTAATGCTCGTCAGCATGCAGCGAGCAGCTGAAAGGACGATTAAGCTCAATGACGACTCTGGTTTCACGATCAGGCCTGACTTGCGCCACGCCGCCGTCCAGAGAGTCAGGAAGCCGCAGGGTACTAGCGAAGGGGGCGGAGCGAGCCCCTTGAAATATGTCTGCACTGTAGCGGCGAGAGACTTTCAGATGGGGCTCTCCGAATGACCTGCGCAATGCAAGCACCTCGGAGAGGGGCCAGCTATAAGCCACAATATTAAACGGCGGATTTCCGTCTGGGCCGCGAAAGCCGTCAGCGGTGCTGTGTCCCGCTTGACCCTGAAAAGGAACCCGTTAATCCTCGAGTCTTTTCATGTTCGACTCTGTCGGTGATGGGAATTTCTGTGAGGGAAGGCTCTCCTGGCTCCATCGGAGGACCGGAAGGAGGAGAGGCTTTGGAATGACGAGGGCGTTTTCTGTTATCTCACAGAGAAGAGAGTAATCTCCCAGGCAGCTGTTTTCATTTACAGCGTTCACACCGGAGGGAATACAGTATTATTATCAATTCATCGACTTCGAGGCGACGAGAGCAGCTAACGCTGAATTCTGCTCGAACTCGAAATTGACTCCATTCCCGACCTATAGAGCTCCCTCCCAGTAAGCCGAATCCTTTCGACCGAAGCCATCTGACCGAAATGCTGTGAGGAACACCGTTTGACGGACGCCGTATGACCGAAGCGGTTCCACCGAATAGGGCTACCCCGGATCTGCTCACGCAATCCGGGAGCCTCACCAAGTTTTCAGATTGAGGAGGAAAATCCTGGATAACTGTCCAGCATCATTCGACCGACTCGCTTTCTGTTCATTCATCATGCAGCAATTCAAAACCATCGTGGTATGCTCCTGGTTTTGAGCAGATTCTCGTCTTATTCACGAGGTCGAAAACTACGAAACCGATGAAATTCCATTGAGCGACTTCGTCCAAGAGGTTGCTTCCAAGAGTTGTGATAAAGTCGAAAATAAATCATAGGGGCCTCTCATTTTGAAGTTCAAAACCCCAGCTAGACTTGTGATATCCCCGAATGAACTTGTGAGAAATCCTCGTTCGGAAGCGAATCCGCACCCCGTTCTTCTTCTCCAACGCGTCGCTCCCCAGTTCCGAATCCCGGAAATGTGCTTGCCTGCATGTATGGCGGATTTGGTCAAGTGGCTTCGGTCATATGGATTCGGTCAAGTGGCTTCGGTCATATGGATTCGGTCAACAGGGAAGTCACCGCATGTATACGAATCTCGGTAGAGCTCAGTTCGGTCAAACGTCTTCGGTCGAGTGGTTTCAGTCAAACGGTGCCGGTCAGATGGAGTGATCAGACGGTTTCAGTCAAAAAGATTCGGTCAACAGGGGAGTCACCGAGATGTCGGCACAGCGAGGCGGCTGAGGGGACAGACATGACTTCTTTTATAGAGGACCCTCTTGATTCACGAACGCTTCCTATGAGCTCGCAAGAGGTGATACTTAAGTATTGGATATGATGACGGCTGCGCGATTCAAGCTGTTTCCATCGTACATGGTATGCAAGAGTTCGACTTCGAGAGCGCGCATCACGGTGTTCATGTCAGTCGAGTATCGGGGGAACCCGATCATGTACAAGATCATTCGGGACAGCTTATGACGCGAGTGTCAGGAGCCAGGAGACCCGTTCCTCATGGACATTTTGCAGAGGTACGGGACGAAACATATCCCGAATTCCCACACCGAGACGGCAGACGAGGGCGGATGCGCCATCGAATTTCGCCTCGGGAAACTTTTTCTGAAGTCCCTCGAGGCACCAGGTGAGGTGTATGAGTGTCATAGGATGTATGCATTCTGTGGAGTCGAGGGGGCTCCGGAGGACAGATGAGATATACGATGAGTCTCTCATAGATGGGCCACAGATCGTCTCGAATGCATTTCGACAGAGAACGGAGCGCGCGACGAGGTCGATATCCATGCGGGCGAGTCCGACTAACTATCATCTCAGCTAGTCCGAGCAGCAGGAGGAATGCGGATCGCTGGCTTGGAAACTTCTGGTCATTGTGTGCCAACTTCAACCCGATTGAGGACCGGGGGATGAGCGTTCAATTTATCCGATTTTACCAGATGGTTCCAGAGTCGTCGACCTCCGCTTGACCGATACCGCATTTTCCGCAGGGCTTCTGTGCATGGGCAGCAATCTTCGTAATTCGGAGTACTCGGATGCGTGAGTTCCCGAGAGCATACTGCCGAAGGTTATCGATCGCTCTCATCTGGCTGGGAAGAGTCACATCCAGGGTGGGTGCCCAGATTTGAGAGGCGTTTGGGCCTCTGACCCACGACTGACAGTGTCTGATCTGAGATGATTTTTCCCCCTTATCCTCTCCTGTCGAAAAATATTATCATTCGTGGCGGACTATAGATCTCGCAGGAGCTCCTAGTAGGAGCATGAGGGACTAGCTCCGAGATCCGGCCCGACGGAATGTCTGCCTTTCTTTCCACTTGGGAAACTGAGAGGTTCCCGACAGACCATTCAACCGAGCCGCGATGGCTCGATGACCTCGTCGGATGCGGTTTCTTCGAAGAAAGTAATGCCCCGGACGGAAAGTCGGTTCGTGACCGGCAGAGTGGCTGGGTTTCGCGATCCATACGCCGCTCACAGACTGCGAGTCTGGCTTGGTGACGATTTTGACGACATGAGTCTTGCGCTAGTCAAACGCTCCAAGTTTTTGAGCGATTCCGTCTTCCGCGATGGATTTGCGTGACGACAATCTGAGGACCGAAAGCTCTCCTCGGCGGCATCCGCTCTTGATTCCCGCCGCCTCATCGACTTGGAATGGTCGGGCCCCGTGTGCGAAAGCTCAAGAATAGCTCTGACGAGCCAGCATTCTGGTTATTGAAAACTAACAAAGAGGATGAAGATTCGGGAAGGCTACTCGGAAGTGACAGAAACTCCGATGGTGATTCCGAGTCTTTTCTCCCGATCACTTTGCACACTCCGTAACGATCGGCAACGAGTACGCATCGGAAGGACCCTCAGTGAAGACGAGAATTATCCGTCATTCGAAGCTGGATGAAAATCGTATGCATCTTTGACTGGGGAAACGTGAAGTCAATTCCAACCCGAGCCATACCTGCCCTATCGAGATAGTCGCTCGAAGGAGAATTCGGCGCGCATTGATCTTCGGCACTTTTTCATGCACAAAGCCGTCTCCGCCGAGTCATGCTCCCGTACAGAATTCGGGGAGTGAATCGAGCTTATTGTTAGAGGCTCGCGATTTCATTCTGCGAAAACTTAATTCCTCGACTCTTTGCAGTGTGGAATCATTCCTGAATGCAGGATTAGGAGAACTACCAAGATCTGTGGCCCAAGTCATTGTATTGCGAAGTAGGAAAGCTGGTCACTCAGTTCTGGCTGAGGCATTCCAGCCCTGAGAAACTACTCAAGTCGCTCCTCAATGCTCGGAATATCACTAACTCCAAGGATGAGACTCCGCTGAACCATTTATTCGAGATTCCCCAGCAGATAATAGTACCTGATAAGTCAATCCATAACATCTCTCCGTGGTCGGCCCAACTGCCATCGAAACAGCTGCATTTGCGATTTTGGCAAAGCTTCGTGACGGGACATTCCCGTCTTGTATTCAAGTTGCGGTGGTTTGTTCGGGTCGATTCCTATATTACATTCGGGATTTCTATCCTATACCTGTACAGACTCCTATTATTCCCATGCTGTTGAACCTAATGAAGAGTGCGTTCCCTGTTCTGAGTTTACACGCTCTAGCATGAGCGATAGCCAGTGAATCCTCCGAATATGATACCTACTACAAACATTTCATTCGCTGCGAAATCGGTGGCATTCTTTCGAATATCGAAACAGACAATGTATCACAGAGCGTCGAACCAAAACTTGTTGTAGATAGACGCATTACCGTTCCATCGAACCCATTCGTCGAAGCTAGTTCGGTGCTCCTTGGAAAAGTGGCTTTCCCATCCTCCGGCAAGTCCCATTTTCTTCCGACGACCCTCTGAGCTGCTGAAATCTCTGCAGTCCAACGATTGCTTCCTCAACAGTGTTTCCTTTATCTCTTCGGAGACTCGAGAAGCGTCGACATCTACGTCGATGAATTCGATCAGACGGTGCAGATTATGCTCAAGATCATTCTCCATCTCTTCGTATATCAGAATAATGAGATTTTCTGTGTCGGGAACGCTCGACCGCTCTTCGCACAGACACGATTTGATGCACGTTCGTTCGAGCCACGATCGTGTGTGTCGAAAATAGTCACCGTACGCAACTTTCCCGTTGACGAAGAGGCGGTAGAATGTATTGAAGCTGCAATTTTCTTCAGGGGCTCGGCCGTAGAGACGTTGGAAGGTCTTCTTGAAGAGGTAGTAAAACGACACGCACACTTGTTTCGGGTTCCTCAACAGAAGAACGTAACGCGCTCTGGGGTTCCACCGTGACCGGCAGAATGGTAGATGTGTCACGTGAAGACCGCTGCCGATACTTCCGAGACTATCTCCGACGGTGCGAAAAATCCTCCGGTCGCGATCACGCAGCTTTTCGAGAATCTTCAGAACGATGTCTTCGCCAGAGGCAGGATAACTGCAGAGGACTACATCGTTGTCCGCTGGTCGAAAATTGAGCTGTTCGTAGGGATTCGGTTCTGAAGGAAAGATCCGTGGCAGTTTCACACCTTGCTTCATATACACTGAAAACACTGGCGGCTCGTAGGAATCCATCATTATGATCATAGGAGCATTTGTTCATCGTCATCCAGAGGAACCCGAGTAGGGCGTCCACCCGTCACAGCGTGGAGAGCGGACAGCCTGAAAAGCGACACGGAGATAAAATTTTAATCTATCGGATTAGTCATTCAACTGTTCCGGACGAGGTGCCATTCACAGACGATGAAATTCGATGAGCATGCTTCCAGGACAAGGGAATCGAACCAAGACAAGAAGACACAAGAAGTGATTCGGCCCGTTCCGAGTGGTTTAAATGCGAATTTATACCTACACAAGCCCGCCACTCATGCAAAGCAAATGTTCCAATGGCACCTCCCGAACGGCTCTTCGAAATCCGCTCGTGTTTGAATACTCTAGAAATTGATTTCCGTTTCCGCTTCGCCAGAAACTTCCGCGGTGACCTCGTGAGCGGGAAGTTCAGAGCTCTTTTGGTCTCGTCATATCCCGGGTTGACGCTCTCCGAGACCTTCTTTCGCAATCTAACCGAGACGAAAGCAGCGTTGGCTCGTCCCATTCCAGCTCATAGGCAAAACGACATGCAGCGCATTCCGAAGCTCCACGACCAGTTGATCTTCCTCTCGTTTTCCGAGAACAGCCCGGGATGCGATCTACTCGACATTCCTCGGGCTTGACAATGTTCTCCGACGATATTTTCTGTTTGCCATGTCTTTGAAGAATATTAGCGCAGCTGATAGACAAGCTCGATTACTGTATACTGAAGCGGCGCTATCGGTTTCTTTAAAAGCCAGGACTACTTCACATAAATCATCGTTGCTAAGTAAGCCAATCTCCGTTATCGGAATGCTACGATACGAAGAGTCTAACAAGCGGGGATGGGAAGCTCGTGGTAAGTGATCAACTCACTATCGAATCCGCGATCGAAGATTCGTCAAAGAGCTCCAGCTTCAGAGTACACCGATGCTCCCTCGAGAATGGAGCTCCAAAACCAAACGAAGCACTCGGTATCGTTGTACGCACATTGTTGTTAGCCGCGCTGTTGTGTCAACTACCAAATGGAGAGCTAGACGGGTTCACAACCCCGAAACGGGAGAAAGCCTGACGGCGCGACGCTATAGTCGGGGGAGGGAACGCTCGGTCGATCGCCGACAGTCGAGCAGCCAATGCTTTCCGTTGTCGGTGGTGGGAGCTGGCCTCGGCGGCCGCAGTGCCATCCGATCATCCTGACAGACCCACGAACATACTCCCATAGTTCGTCGTCGTAGCCGGCGACCTGAGAACGAGGTGAGAATATTGTCGTCACACAGAAGAAATCATCCGGTGACTATCGCTCAAACAGCCATTCTCATAAAATTCGATAAACAAAGAGCCGAAAGATCACCCGAATGTCCAAACGGCAAGCGCATTCGGTCTCAGAGAGTCTGACCAAATTCGAAGCAAGCAAAGCGAGGGAATCCACCTCCCTGTGTGGTTTTCCCGGGCCAGGGTCGCTCTCGGTTCATTCTTTCATGCCTATGCTAGCTCACGGGTAGAAAGCGAAAGAAAACTGATGAGTGAAATTGAACAGCAGCCACACTCCGATCACTAACTGCGCTCCATTAACGTCGGCGATGATTGCAAGTATTGAATGAAGAAAAATTTGAGGAATCATGAGCGTTGTCGTCGGATATTGAATTCACGATGCCACTATCGTAAAACAGAATGCCCACGCGTGAGTGCGGCGAGGTCCCACCATCTTCGTGGGAGGACGCCAGCAATTATCATCTGTGTGTCGTGAATTTGAACAACACTGATGACTTGAGAAAGTGAGATCGAGTTGGACCGAGAAGCCTTCTTTCTGATGCCAGGAGCCACCGTTAGCTGTTGGCTACAGCGAGGTCGATTGGATTGACACGATTAGACGCCTAACTGAATTCCGCCAACATGTCATCAGGCGCTGGTGAGGTTTTCGCGTCTTCCCGATATATTTTATTAGCTCATTCTTCCAGAGTATAGAACTCTCACCGAAATGTTAAACGGGAAAAACTTAACGTAAAAGAGTGCTGACTGCATGCACACGTAGCTCGGACACTCATCGTGACGGCCTTGAGGGGAAACCCGCGTTAATGTTCTGCTGAAAATTTCTCGACGAGGGAATATAGGTCGAAGGGATGTTTCGAGGAAAGACTAGAATACAGAACCATTCTTCGCCGTGCTCCACGGCTCGAATTCCAGCGATTCGTAGGTCCGGGATCGGATCGCTCCCTACTCCGGCAACCGCCGTAAGAAACGCCTAGTGTGCGCAAGAGGTTGTGCTCTCCCCCGAGCTTCGAGGGTTCATGTGGAACCTTCTTCCTTGCTTTGAGTCAATCAATTCCAGACTGAACGTTTAAGAAACCCGAAATCTGAGGGGAGTCATTCCGTCGACGGGTGTCCCCTCAAATGGCATCGTAACCTTTCTTGCCCCATATAGACCTTCGAATTTCCTCGTCCGTTCGTTGTTGATCTTCCTCGGTTGGTGCGACCATCGATGTCAACAGGTGGGCTTCTTCGTGGGGCGCTGAAAATAATTGCAATCGAGATTACAGGCGCGAAAGTGATCACCGAAGTGAATCGTTCGTAGGCAGCACTCATCAGAACCACGAACGGTTTCATTTACCTTTAGGTCGTCGACTGCCAAAATTGGTGACGCTGGTCCCGATCACGCGGATATGCTGTTGAACGTCAGACGTGACATCGGAGACGTCAACCATAGCCAATAGAGATTGAACGAATGACGTATTTTGGAAACGATCCGACCTGGAAATCGCGCATTTTCTCGTTTACCATACCGGTCGTAGTCGAGGTCCTCTGCTGGCAATCTCTCATAGGACGAATGAAGTAGACGACGGACTTACAGATATGGTTTGAAGGAGAACGAATAGTGGTGCGCTATCGCAGCCAGAAACATTTCGATGCATATCAAAAAATCCTGCACCTCTCTGACCACTTTCGCGAGCTCTCCCATATATTCTTCACTCTTCTCGTCCTTGTTGGTCATCAAGAAGCTCAACAGCCCTTCCCAACCCATGAATGTGATCAACACACTTTGGCTGCAGACCGAAGGGAATCTTAGAGAGCCGTCTCCAATCATAAGCTCAACCTATTCCTCCCCCGGGGGGGGGGATTCCAGGGTTCGAACGCTCAATCCCGGGAGGAAACGTCACGGTGGGTTGGATGATTTCGGAGAAGATCAGACAGATCATGGAGGCCGATGATTCGGCGGAATCTCGACTAGCCAATGGCACTTACAAAAATGAAAAGAAAACCACAGCTTTGATGCACAGGAACTTTCCGATGGGTGACATGGGAGCAAGATAATGCCTATAAGCTCTGTAGAACATTACGAGCGAATACATGGCAACAAACTGGGACGCATTGTTGACTACGACGATGAATATAAACCACTTGTCCTCGATCTTCGCTTCTCCATAAGCGAAGTAGGCAACCCTGGAACGAAGACTCGAGCTTCACATCGAGAACCCCTGCTCGTGATTGAGCGGGCATACGCTAATAACGACCGCATCAGACAACTTATTATTGATTATTATCAATCGTCTGCATGTTAGGTGTTTGTAGAGTTTCATGCTAGGAGCAAAGCATTGATGGTCGTCTCCTTCGCTCTGAGTGAGTTCAAGCCTCGACTTACACAGAGATAAGAGTTGTCAAAGGCCGCACCACGGTGTACTGCAATATTCCGTGTCGGCAGTTGTCGATGAAAGTCATGCCGCCTCGACAGGGGCTCAGGAAACACAGGGGGAAAATGTGCTTAACCTTGAGAGGGGAATAGACGAAAAAATGAAGACATGATGTCTGGGGCGGCTCTCGAGTAAATGGTCCAGATCAGCCAATCACGAGCGGCTTATTCGACGCGCATTCGGGCCATCGCAATACTAACCGACGGTTGCTCGCCAAGAGCTACCGGATCATAATCTTGATCATAGAAGAGGTAGTTGAGCAAAAACATCATGAAGTTATAAATGACGTAAGCCTCGTAGCATTCTCTGAAAACGTCCAGGACGAAGCCTCCGTCGCGCCATTCTAGCGAGATCCACTGGAAAGAGGAGAGGATTCGTGTCGGAAGACTTTCGGGAGTCATCCTCGAGGCAATTTATTCTCTCAGAGATTGTTCCCTCATGCGAGCCCCTCTCAGGTTCGTCACGAATTCACTCACAGAGTTAATACTGTAAATGGGAACCATCCAGAGGATTCGGATGATGTGCTTCTGCAGGTAAGGTTTACTGTAGTTCCCGATGTGACCCGCGATCTCGTATAAGCTGAACGGCAGAGTCATCATCAGGAAACCGCCAGCAAGAAGGAATGCCATGCGTCGGAAGTCGATTTTCTGCTTCGCCTGCTGAAAGGGATTGAATAACTAGGTGAGATCCCTTCGATGTTTCAAGTTCCGTTCCCCTCGGTGTCGGACGGACCGACATCCGATTCCGCACCGGTGATTCAAAGATATTCGAAAGGATATTCGGAATAGCTCCTCGAAGTACCAATTGATAGATGCACCACGGCAGGAACACGACGAGGATGGCAATGTAGGAGATCGCTGCCACCGCTCTGAACCATATCCGCCAATTTCTGGCGCATGATTGAGCGTTAAATGAGATTTGTCGATGGACGCCGCCCGAGCTGATGCGAACGCCCGACTCCATGTTGACTTCCCCCTCGAAATCGCTCCTCTTGTCGGTATCGTAGCCGATAATTAGAATTTCCTTCTCTTTCACGGCGACATCAGCTGAAATGGCGGAATAATTTAGTAGATCCACTGCAAAACGCAGACCAAATTTGCCGGCTCATCAAGTCGATGTGACCCTTAAGGTGCACAGTTCACAGAGTACCCGGAATCGACCTAGAGATGATTGCGATCCCGCGTCTCACGAACCTAGTCCGTTAACGACATACTTCGGCGATTTATGGAAAACGACCGAATATTCATGAGAGATCCCGAACATCGGATAAACGGAGTGAGATCAGAGCACAAGTATTGAACGAAATCCTCACAAAAACGCTCGATACGCTCTTCACGGGAATGCCACTCGAGGAGGCAGTGGGCTATCAGACAAATAGTGACTACTGTATTCCTCGACAAGGAAATCGGAGAGAAACTCTCTTCTCACGGCCCCTCTCGATTGAGACGATCTCCGGTGTCAAGTCGACCGGAGAGAGATAAACGTCAACGAAAACTGTAGAGAATACTTGGGAGAGATGAGCTCTCTGTTGAATGGAAGTGAGATTCCGATATTTCTTTGGCAAAGATGTGATGAAACCGTGCCGAATCGGAGTTCCATTCCATGACATCTTCCTGGCCAGTTTCGGGTTGACGGAGGAATTTCCACTGATACGACACACCGCGGGCTGAAGGGGGGCATGCGGAGCGATATGCATTTCCGAGGCTCCGAAGGCTTTGATTCTTGGCCCAATCAGCAGGAAGCTGAGTCTCTGACCAATAGTAAGCTTGTGAGTGCTATGGGACGTTCAGGTCTCAGCAAGCTTCGGGTTTAGGAAATCATGACTTGTACACGTCGAGATTGGAATTGTCAGATGTCATTCCAGTAGTTCTGATTTCTGTTCCGCAAATATTCGCTCCTCTATCAGGCTACCCCATTCCATGGAGCAACGGCTCACGGATCGTATCTCGGCGGGAGGCGCGGAATCGGAAGGGACGAATTCTCCATCGCGTACCTGACGCTTGAATACACGCACGCTGGCACCAAGGGAGCTATTGGAATCCCACTTGGGCGTATTCCGACGGCAAACCGTGTGGAACAATATTTTCGAGGATGGATTTCACTCACCCAAGAATTTCGTGGCAGTGGGCCTCGCACCCGAGCCGAATCAGATTGGCGGGTTGATTTAACGGGATGGGGTTTTCTTCTCGAGCAGCATAGATTTGAATGCGGCCGACGTGATTGCTCACTACCTGCTCCTTTCCAATACAGTCAAATTCGGAGGAAGAGAAAAACGGAGAGGAACAGCTTGCTCTTCCGAGCTTTAATAATACTCGGAACATGAACAGCTGGAACGAGAGCGACTGTCACAAGCTGCCGTCTGCTTCACGCCGGGGGGAAAGCGCCGAAAATGAACAGAGTGATCGGTCCATTTCGATCTTGGGCATCTCGAGCGTGCTCAAACAATGGCTACCGCTCCTCTGAGAGACGCGATTTGAGTTCTGCACAGCTTCCGCAATGACGAATTTAAAATCCGGAAGTCGGGGAAAGAGCGCAAGTGCGCATCCTCTCGTATTTCGTGGATTTAGATTTCAACATGGTCAGCAGCATACTTCTTGAACAGCTGATCGACAGAAAAGATTCGATTTGCAAATAGGAGTGATTCCTTGTAGGCGGAATATCCTATAATGAATCCGACGGCCTCGGACCCTCAATTGTTGAAACACAATCGGACAATCTGTAAGTGCGGGGAGTCTTCGCACACTCCGGACCCTTGATCGTTTCTGTTGTGAGCTTCCGCGGTGGAACACTTCTTTGAGAAGCACAAAGCTAGGACTTTATCCTCCATGAAGGACTCTCATCTTCGAGCTCCTCTTCTGAGTTAGCGGAGGTTTTGCGCTACCGGTGTTGGCGAATGATCTCGCACCTATGAGGAAGTATTCGAACGATGCAAAGTTCGCTTGACTGACAGAGCTCCCAGATGGTGTGGTGCAGTCGTTCTCACTTTCGAAGCTCATTCATCCATCCCGATAGTTAACCCGCATAATGAAAGAGATTTCTGAGATTGGTTTTGGACAGTTGACTCTTGCGGATCGAAGTAAGAGTGTCGTGATTTCCAGCTAACACTTCGACTCGCAGTGAGGGTGATGGGATGGAGGCCCCTCGGAAAGAAGAGATTCCAATGCCAGTGCTCACCCATGCTCATCCGAAATTCGTGCCCAAAGAACCTTACAAAGCAGCCGTCGGGCTTTCGAAAAAAGACCACGAGAGAAACAAACTCTTGAGACGAGTCGACGAGTTGGAACGAGAAATTGATCAATTGAAGGAGCAGTACAAGTGAGTGACCCTTCGCTTCCCTTGGGGCTATCGTCGAATGTGCCTTTTGGCTTGGATCCTAGATTCGATTCCGAAGGGATCCTCGCGGTGTCGTTGGAGATATCAGTCTCTATGATACTTCACGATTCGTTCGGGACGCATAGAGCTCCAAATACGATCGTCGTGATATTCCGATTCCAGGATCCAGGTAGAGGTCAACTCTGACCTTAAGAAGCTGCTTGTGGCGTCCCTCGGGGAAGACATGCAGGAACGAGTGCAGTTCCTCACAGAAGACAAGCAGCGACTCGCGTCTGAAATTTCGTTCTACACCCGAAAACTGCAAAAAGAGATTGGCCACATCGACGAATTGAATATCGAATGCGATGTATGGCGTACCAAATACCTAGCGACGAGTCTCCTGGTCACCGAACTCGCTACCGTGAAAGCTGAGCTCAATAAAAGATGCGACGATTTCGAGAGGGCTGTGGAAGTGAGCAAACAAGAGAGGTCTCGACTCACGGACGATATTTTCAAGGTGAGTCCCATCTCTCATCAAAGCCATGATTCATATCGTTTTCAGCGGACTCTATCCCATGATGTTCGTTGCCCTGTTGATCCGGGACTGTGTGGATAGAAGAGATCATGTACAGATGGAGGGCGGTCCGAAGTCTAAGATAAAGCTCATTCCAGGCTCATAATTTGATGCGCGAGACCCAGAGATGCGTAGAACCGTTGATAAACTACAAGAGACATCCGTCGAACACGATAGAGTGTAGCCAGAGTTTGCTTCAAGTCGCTCAGCAAATCGCCAACAAGTTCGGCGTGACGGCGCCTACGACAAACGAGGTAAACTCCTCGGTGAGACACAAGATTCCTCTTCAGAGCTCTTCCTGCACGCAAAAAGAGGAAGGAGAGTACCGACTTCATGACACTGTACCTTCCAGGTTCTCGGCCAGACGCATGCGGAGAAAACGTGCGACATCGCTCTCAAGCAATACAGGGCCTTGATGCACGCGATAACTTCGAAAGCTGTGACGGCGTTCGTGGACGAAAGTACCGACGAACCGGCGCTCCAGACCACCGGAGTTCCGACATGTTTCGGGTGTCAGAAATGTCAAGGACCAGCCATTGTAATTTAAATGACTCCTATCTTTAATGCTCAAAGTCTAGGCTGAGCTTCTCTCCCCAGAGAGAGAGGTGTCATCTAAGAAAAATCGTGTCTTCGGAAGCTTTTGCAATGAATTGAAGCACGGAGACATAAGCGAGACCGATCTTCCCTATTCGCCGCTCAACGACGACAAACTTTCATCGCCGAATTTCCAAATGTACATATAATGCGTAAGCTTCACGGCTCATTTGTACATGCATCGACTGCTGAATGAAGATGATTTATTTTCGAATACTCGGTCTCTCGTTGATTCCTAGACTGACGAATCAGTCGGATGACGACCAGGGGCGCGCACAGAATTTTTTTTTGGGGGGGGCAACTAGAGTTTTGGAGGGGGCCAGACGGCCAAAGATGATGACGCGCCTCCTCGGGGTCCATACTTCAGCATCGACACCGAAGAATTTTGGTGGGGGCCATGGCCCCCTTGCCCCCCCCCCTCGTGCGCGCCTCTGATCAAGACTGATCCTGCACACGCTGCAAATCAAAACGACTCAAGAAATACAATGAATTCCCGATTGTGGCTAAGCAAGATTCCCTTTATTATCCTGGGAAGGATAGGACGAGCAAAACGAATACTTCAGAAGAGATCAATTCTTGATTGGTGATATGGGACCAGAAAAAGATCGCGTGGAGAGAAAATCGGTGTAGTGTGAAGTGTTTGAGCTGGATCGGAGATACCACTGTTGGACTCAGCGCCCGGTAACTTCGTCGCGCGGCCTCCTACCAGTTCGGGTAGTAGGGATACCTCGGGACTACATAGCTAGAAAGTTTTGAAGGATTTTGTTATTTGACCTCAATGAGCGTGCGATAGATTGGTACTGGGAGAGACCTGTCGATCCCTGGCGCCTACCTTCCATAGTAACCGTACGGCCTGCCGTAGGGTCTTCCATAGTAGCCGTAGGGCCTCCCGTAATACGACCCGTAACCGGTTCCGTAGCCACCATAGCCACTTCCGATATTGATGCCGAATAGTTGTGTGGTGGCCAGCGCAAAAGTGCTGATCATGATGACGAAGAAGAGAATGCGCATCATCTTGAGATCTGGAAGGAGAACGCTTCGTAGAATACCTCCTACCATTGATCCAGGCTCCTCTGCTTTGCGTTCTTCGTCTCGGACAATTGCCCTTAACCCCCCCCCCCCCCCCTACGACCGTAGCCGAAATATATGTCGAGTCCCAATAACAATTTAAGGCCCGGAACATGATGTTTCGTTCGCCGCCAACCACGGAGGAGCCGTGGACGGTCGAGCCTCGTCCCAGGCAGGCTTCATCGATGATTCATTCTTGTCACAAAAGCGTATCGCCCCATCTGGACCGCGATCCTACAATCCATTGATCTCGAATGACTGATGGGTCGATTCGCGAAGGCTCGTTCCGAGAAACCCAAGCTATCGTCGCTGCAGGTGGAAAATTTCGTACAGAGTCGCTTCAGTGTGCTCAAGACGTCGTGGGTACCGTCGGAACGCTTCCCGGGGAACTTTGCGCATCGAATTTCTCCGGAAGAATTCGTGGTCATCGCCGCTTCGGTAACGAGGGCCCGGTAGCCGTGCGGGTTGTGGATAGATCACAATGAACTCGCGTCGCCTCTGCTGGTAGCCGATTGAAAGACTACCGCAGGCGAGACCGAGAACAATGGAGATTTGATACGTGATCATCTCGACTGCGGACAGGATCGGTTAGATTCGCTCAAAAACCGTTTCTCCAATTTCTTCTCCGAATTCAGATTCTCAAGCGATACGGCCCTCGCTCTGCCAACGATTTCTCCCGCAGCGAGAATAGTGCGTGCGAACGAGCGAGCGAGCCGCGTGGGGCAAGCGAGCGAGAAAGCCGGCAGAAGAACGCGCGGTCCTTTCTGAACCTGTCAAGCAGGTTCAGAGAAAGCTGAGGTGACTAAGCCTCAGGTCCCATGGACAAACTCCATGGAGTACCGAAGAGATCTCTGAGAAATCGTGTATTTCAGCAGGGAAGATGTCGCTCCGCGAATCGGAGTCCTGGAGTCCGAAATCTAGCTCCTGTTCTCACTAGGTTCTCTCACGGCCATTCCCAGTCGGATCGGCTGGAAAGACGGAAGTTCTCGAGGGGTTTCCGGAAGAATAACTCGCTGGGCTATTCAGGGAGAGGCGGACACAGGTCCAGAGCCGGCTCGGGAGGCGCGGACGCTCTCCGCGGCGCTTTTTGAATTAGCTCTTCTTAGAGATCCCATCCACTGGTCCTTTCACCACTCTTGGTCTTCTCGACTCATGGGAGCAGCATCAGAAGAGTCCGAATTGAAATCATCTCAAAATGAAACAATCTCTTCTCGGAACGTCGAACAAGCCCTCGAGCTGTTCGGACTCAAACCAACTCTTGCGGCCACGAATCGAGAAGAGGCGAAGCCAGAGCGGCGACTTGAGGTTCACGCGCGTTCCGATAGCCCTTGTTGGAGCCGCTTGTCTCACTGTACGGTGGCCGACCAGGAAGTGCGCTACCCCGGTCAGATAAGTTACTCTCGCAGAGCCTCCGAGCTATGATTCTCCGCGAAGGTCTAGGGTCTAGGGAGTCTTCGACGGTGGGAATAGAGAGCAGGGACTTGCGAAGGGGAGGCCTCCCGATCACCCTGCTCAAGATCCATCGCTACGTTTCCAAGCCGAGACTGCTGATTGAGAAAGCACTCCGCGCGCCGCGGCAACAGAGAACGTGAGGAAGTTGACGCGGTACGCCACACCGTTGCCACGGAACTTGAGGATGTTCGATCTCACTGGTTGCCTATTGCTCAGATACTATTGGAATCCTATCTCGGAGCGCGAATCGTTCTCGATAGCCGCGAGAGAGTCAAGCCGAGGGTTTCAGACTCTCAAGTTCTGAAGAGGTTGCTCCACTTGATTAGATTCGATTGTAGAAACGGTTTGCGATGCAACACCTCAGGAAAGCTAAGTAATCAAGGCCGAGCAGAAGCACGTATTGAGCTGAAACTTCTCCAGTCTCCCATCACTAACCTTGAGTTTGCGAGCCTCAGCGGTAGAGTGTAACGCGATCGAGGAGATCCACACGCTGTCGGAAATCGCCCTCGCTCTAAGAAAGAGTCGGAAGCCGCTGCTCAGAGCATCAAAGGATGCTTCACCAAGCAGAGAGGGAGAAAGAAACAAAGTCTTTGCTCGACCGGAGCTCGTACAATTCCTCCAATCTAAGCATAGGGATCGGATACAAGCAGATCTGGCGGAGACTTGTGATGACCGACCGGATCGTAAGCATTTCTACATCTCCTCAAACAATGTCTCCACGACAAGAGCACTTAATCAATAAATTGAAAAGAATACCCAACACATCCCCGCTCAGCGGCCTCTCGTCCGTGATCGATTTCTCAATGTCGAATCCACCGCATTCTCGATTGCCGGACAGCGCAACGATCAGTATAAGGTGATCAGCATTGAGAAGAACTCTTCCCCCCTTGGTTTATTTCCAAAATAATCATTTGAATGGATGAGGCATAATTTGATCACGCATCCGGAGCTCATGAAGCTCGCCCTTTACTCGAAAACAAAGTCGACCTCGCTATGATCTCTTTCTCTTATTTGACGAAATCATTGCTTTAATCGGATCTCGATCTCGAGCCCTGCGGAGAAGAGATTCATTTCGAGTCTCGTGGCGCAGATTATTGGCACCGTTTCTTCATCGGGCTAATAATGAGCATCTGTCTCCCATGCGAACCGGAGACCCGCGCTGATTTCTTGGATTGATAATCGGAATCGATGCTGCTCTTGAACTGAGGGGCTGCGAGCCGGGTTTGCAGTGTTCACAAACACAACCGAGGAATCATGGCCGAGACCCATCGACCCGCTTCCGATCGGTGTTTGCCAAACGAATTAAAAGGAAGCGTCCCTGTTCTCACCGACGCGATCAATCAAGACGGACGGACTCGAAACCTGAATTGAAACTTCGAGGGCAAACCGCTAGCTTCAATAGCGGAAGTTCAGAGGGGATGGGGGAAGCCCGGACGCGGACTTCCCGACATTCGCAGACCGATGCATCGAATGCGACAATTATCCATCGTACACTGTTCTCAGAGCATAACCCTTTGAAAAATCTCACCGTCGATAAGATCAGATCATTCCACTGCCTCTTCTCGCGGTCTTTTTCGCTCTTGTCGATCCGCATGTCGTCCGCGCCTCATCCCTCTCTTTTGATCTTCCCTCCTCCGATTGAATGACTTTGCTCGCCTCTTGTTACTTGCTCGACTCTATCGATTCTAAGCACTGGCGTGATACATGGAACCGTCTCCGGGATCGGCGCTCCCAGCGATGAGTTGATTCACCGCACTGTTTCTCGACCGGAAATGAGTTTATGAGATTCCCTGTGCTCTCGTATCTCGCTCGAGGAGTCTCTGTTGCTGCGTGCGCGAAGCTAGAAATGTGTTCATGAATACCTTTGACCTTGATTTGAAGGCGTGCCACGGCGCCATCCTGGCCTCGGCATGATTATGTTTCCGCTTGCATTCGGCAAGTGACAGACAAATAATGAGTATTTCCCGGCGGTCGTCCGATCGACCGGACCAACCCGAATCCAGAGAACGCTAGGCTTTCTAGGCTCGAGAGCTGAAGATTCTATCTGAAGCTTCGAGATGGGCGATGAGCGGCCGTCTCCGGGAAGTCGATTAATTTGGTCTCGATCGGTCAGAACTATCCGCCGTCCGGCTGTTGTTTCCAGCCTCCCTCATCGCAACATCCGATATCCATCCCCGCTCAGTGTTCGCTCACATATGGCCGCGAGTAGCTTGAGCTAATTAGCTCAAATAACCGACGCATGATTTTCAATCAGGTATCAATAGGAACTCAATGCTCTTTTAGGTGAGCAACTCGGCAGACTCACAGTTCTAAAGATCACGGTGTTGCGAGAGAGCAGCCATGGAAGCTTGCCATATGGAAGAATAAAGAGCGCTCGGCTGATTCGATTCCCGGGAGCCCTAGGAGAGACAGGTGAAAGATAGAGGAGCCCAGAACGGCTGGGGAGGATTGAGCATACCAGAGAAGGAGATCTCCCATGCCTGCATGGCTGCTTCTCACTATCGGGGCAGATGGATCAATCTCCCAGAGGTAGTAGAATGCTTCAAATAAGAAGAATAGGTTTCCACTGTTTCCATCAATCCCTTATCTGGGTAGAGCGGGAGAATCGACACGCGGGAAGGTTTCCACGGTCATCCCGCGATCGGATCGACGCGGATTGATCCGCGGCGCGCTCGCTTACTCGGCGGCGAACCCGACCTCGATCATCCATGGGAAGCATTTCTCTGGGCGTATCTACTGAGCTTGGATTTTACCTCCGTTCAATAGTTGCTCCCCCTTGCCCTGATCGGAAAGTCCCGGTCACGCTCGTCTTCAGGGCATTGATTCCGAATATTAGCGAGTTCCTTCAAATGGCAGAGTGTTCGATGAGATAGAGCTGCTGTCTCCATCGATGAGCTCAAAGAAATGTTCCTAACATAACTATGATTATCCGAGTCCATTGGCAAGCGCTGCAATTCCTCGCGAATGATGGTGCTCTGGTCTTCCATGCTTCAACTCACGCACACCACTCCGCTTGACGCTTCGGAAAAAAAGAAGCAGTGAAGGTTATTTTAGTCGCCCCGAGATTTCGGCGAACGGAATGTCCACTATCGACTTTCTTTTCTCGAGAAACTGATGATAAGCCGCAATGATCGCTGAACGGTATGACTTCCCGAAAAAGAATTATCAGATGTTCACGTCAGACACGTCTGGCTGGCTCCTACGGTTTCCGGGTCAAGGCGCTCGAAACAATCAGGCTTGAGCTTAGAACCGATGGAAACGTTTTCACGACGAGCGTCGCGGGGGGGAGAAGAGAAAACTCTGATCCGGACCCGCAGCGGTACCTCTTTCATACTCTTCTCCTCATCCATGAATATCGAAAGGTTGATTGCTTCGATTCGCAGTGAGCGATGGAAAAGCTTCAGAAATAAGGGGCGTGACGAACGGAGACAACTAGTCATGTAGCGATGAGGTCCCGTTAAGAGGTCTTGTCGAATGAGCTCTCCCCGTCATTTTATTCGCAGATTGTATTCCTAGGAGCGTGAGTGATACATACAGAGCTCACCTTTCCGCGATCACCGGGCATACCTGTCACCTTGATCCTCGCTCCGACGATCAGAGCTCTCAGCATCGGGACTCCATATCGCGCGCTCATCAAATTCGCTGGCGACTGCTGTAGATCTTGCATCCTCATTCGTGCGCTCCAACCCGGGTGCATCTCATTAATGGATACTATCACTACATACATGCGCTCGTGTTCTGCGAGGACTCGAAGGCAAAGAAAAATCGGAACAATCGGTGCTTCGACAGCTCGCCCGCGTGGACGTCCTCGATCGCTCTTCTCCTAGTAGCAATACAAGACTTGTTTCTCATCACGCCATGATAATTGTGGGATGTGCGCGTGGGATTCGGCTCCGAAGTCGGGGCTCGGCGTTGATAGCCTTCAGCCAGAACTGAGAGTCGCGATGACATGCTACAGCGATAAATAACTCTGAGCGGACCTACATAATATTCGGAAGCATAATCCGCAAGTTTTTCCACCTTGATTTAGATGTTCAACTCATGAGCCTAACCTGATCCCTTCATTACTCCAAAGAATGCTCGTGGTGCCGATGTTCGTTCTCCAGGTGTACCCAGGATCGATCAGGCGGCCAGTCGCTGCCTTGGTTCAAGGTGACTCGGAGCTGTGAGCATGGGTGCGTCAGTTATGGCCGTTAATGGCGCTTTATCACGCCGGATGATCCTCCGAATTGGAATCCCATGAATTTCATTATTTACTGAACGCCCGATACGCGAATTAATCGCTCAATAACTGAACGTTACAAGTTAATCCTCGCGCATCGGGACGAATTTCTCACAGCCTAGACCGACAACCTCATTTGTTCTCGCAAATCCGGCGCCACGCTAGCTCTCGGTCAAGATGGAGGCTATCATTGCTCCATGTTTTCCACGCGGCGAGCACGCTCGCTGCTCGTGAGTGCTTCCCTCGTTCATCCGAGCGCCGTACATCCCTAGTGTGAAGCTTCCCTCAAGATCTGAATCCCAAGCCTGGGTCCCGCTCGATTTCTAAGATATCTATCCCGGAATCGATGTCATGCCTTCTCCATGTATGCCCGGAATCGATGTCATGCCTCCTCCATGTATGCCCGGAATGTGGCATCATCGGCCCGGGAGATCCAGCTGCTATTAATTCGTGGTTTTCAGATGGACCCCCGTCTGGGGAACACAGATGGACGGCACCGGTTTCCAAATGGTATCGGATTGTGATCGCATTGTCTGTATGAATCATGAACTTCACATCACCAGTTCAAGATCCGAGCTCCGAGTTGCCCGCAACCGGAATAGATACGCGGTTCGCTGGAAGTGAGCTGATTGTAGCCTCTGGAGAGAACCGGTCGCATACATGCTTACACATTACGCAGAGTGCTGATGGATAGGATGAGGTTGACATGGGTAGGAGGCTTCCGCATCGAGATCTGAAGTTGGAATCTCTCATTCTGTCGCCGGACTGCCATAATCATTCTCTTCCTCTGGAAGCCAATCATGGTGGACGATCTACGGACGCAGAATCTCCCAGTAGAGTATTCAGGCTGGAAAGATACCGGACAGGGAGTCCGGACTTTCGGACTTTCCTTGTAGAAAGTCGAGCCATCGTCTTCATCATCGATCCCAACCGTGCTTCCGTCGAGAGGTACACGACGATTCGATCGAGAATGGAAGCTCCGATTACGTACAGGCATAAGATCGTGGTGCCGCTAGGAGCCATACCGACGACCCTCCTCAGAGAGGTCCGATTGGTATCATAGGGGAAGACACAGACAGTCCGGATGAGGGACCAACGAATGACCGTTTCGATGAGCACACCGAAGAGCCTATGCGGGAGCTTTCGAGTGAATCTACGCAGGATGACGCGAGTGAAGCCTCCGAGGAAGTCAAGGGAGCACCTACGCAGGAGCCTGCGAGTGAATCTACGCAGTATACCGGGAGTGAATCCACGCAGGACTACACGAGTGAGTCCGTGGGGGAAGATACGACTGCATCTGCCGAAGATCTCACGATCGCTTCCGCCAACAGACTCACGATCGCTTCCGCCAACAGACTCACGATCGCTTCCGCCAACAGACTCACGATCGCTTCCGCCAATAGACTCACGATCGCTTCCGCCACCAGACTCACGAGCGAGTCCATGGAGGGTCAGGCGACAGCTCCTTCCGAAGAGCAAACCACGGATACCATCAGGAGCAGCTTCATCCGTGAGTTCCTAGCTCCGGGTATCTTCGTCGCTCGAGTGTCTGATTCCGCTGATAATACAAGCTCCGCCCCAGATTGGCGGAACCACGGATCCTCGAAGAAATCGACGGCTCTCGAAGAGTAGGAGAATATCGCCACAGGGGCTGGGCGTCACGGATCCAGCCAATGGAGACAGCACTTCATGAGTCTCATGTGGATCTTGACAGTTGAGTTTTCTCCAGAGTTTTCGCTGCTCGAGTTTGATTTGGCGCCTGAGGTATAAGAGTCAAGAAGTGAATCATCCGGAATCTTTCGAAAGCCGAAACCAGGGCATTGAAATGCTACATTTCCGATAACGACGATTTCATTCTCGATTTGAGTACCCTCGGGCCCAGTTCGATAGGGCGACCCGCTTTTGAAGTTCTGCATTACGACCGGAAGTCCTTAGGGGAGGGTGGGGGAAAGAGCTGGGGCCCCGAGGTAGATTCACTTCTGCTCAGAACCGAGAGATTCCTTCCCCCCTCGGACGGTCTCCTACTCACTGAGTACATGGGAATGCGCGAGCCTTCAGTTTGTCGATGCCTAGACGGCAAATCGAGGATAAGCCTTTTTGCTCTCCACGATCACGGGCCCCGGGTTGAGTACAGAAGGAGGTCTTATAGACGATTCGTAAATCGAATGGTTTGTAAGTCGATTGATAGTTTGCCGCAGGATTCCCTGCTGAAGAAAATGATCCGTTCCGAACAATGAAGGACGGCTACCGAGATCGGTCTTCTTCCCTCGAACAATTTATTCTCGTAATTAAATCCTGCAGCGCGCTTTCCGAACATACTCGAGAGCGGGATTTGCCGTCATGTATATGCCAGCTTTTTCATGCGAAATACGGGCTGCCAGCTCATTCATATCCGCCGTCGATGCTATAGGATTTTTTGCCCTATTGATCGAACTTTCCGATGGGTGGCGACTCGAAGATCGTTTTAGGCTTCTGACAAAAATCGAGATGATCCATTTCCTGATTCGTCGGCCTCGACGCGATATCCGCATCAGGGCATATATTGGATGGAAACCAATCTAGGACACGCTTCAAATAGACTCGATGGGGGATATTTCCAGGGCATGTTTATTAAATTGTATAGGATTGATCAGACACAAAACTCTCTGTGGGAAGGACATCATGGGGAGTTCATGAATAGGTGTTTGATCAATTGGAACAAGAATTAAATGAGATCGTGTGCGGAGGAGACCAGGGGGGTGCCGGCGTGGGGCCATTGATGTTGACCTTCGCTGAACTCCATGGCGTCTGGAAACTTCATGATCCACAAGGCTTTCTATAGGCGCGGGTAATAGGGATACCTCGGTAGTCTATAGCTACCGTAGCCGGCACCAGAGCTGAAGTGATTCAAAGAATTTCCGCTATAATTCCCACTTGCGGTCTGGACTACGGGTTTGGGAAAAGATTTCATTTTCACCGGGCACTCACCTCGCGTAGTCCCTGTCTGGTCTTCCGTAGATTTCCGATGGCCTCCCATAGACATTTCGTGGCCTTCCGTAGGTGCCAGACGGTCTCCCATAGACACCTTGCGGTCTCCCGAGAGAGCCGTACTGTCTCCCATTGACACCGTATGGCCGTCCGTGAGTTGATCCGTAAGCAGAGCCCAGACCGGCTCCATAGCCGCCGTAACCAAGCCCGGTATCGATACCCAAGCGTTGGGCCGACGCCAGTGCTGAATAGCCGATCAAAACGACGAAGAACAATATGCGCATCATCTTGAAATCTGAAACAAATAATCGTTCTTTCGATGAAATTGATCGATCCTCGATTCTCGCCCCGATCAATCTCGAAATCTGACGCTTCCCGACCCGAAAGGTCTGGTGTTACCGGCCGGTCTGGAGTCTCAGTGCTCTCCGGCCCCAATAAAAAGAAAAAACCAGTGGCAGGTAGCATCTTCGACACTACCGTTAGGCGCGAAAACGTCAGATACATCCGGTGTTGTTCTGCTTCTATCGACTGACTAATGTTTCGAACTCGAAATGATTCATTCCCAATCAAGATAAAAATGCTTGAAGGTTATATTGAAATTCCATTCTGGCTTGGAGGTCAGTCTTGTCTCAAGTAGATGAATGAATCAACTCAGAGTCGGGAGCGGTACTCGCGTCTAAGCTTTCAATGACATCCTCGAATGGATCTAGAGGTTCGCCTATCGGCTCTGAGCTTTTGAAGACCGACCAATCAATCTTTATGTTGTAATATCTGTAGAGTGGTTGTTCGACTAAGTACCGTAGCCATGCGTGAATTGTGGACTTTTTAATGAAACCGCAGATGTAGGATGACTTGTGGACAATGTTTTTCCTTAAATTGACATTGAACGCATAGTCGTCATCCAGAGATCTTGGTAAGCAGTGAACCATAGTGTCTACATCCACCGGAACATTGATCACCTGTCCAATTATGCCATAAGACCCCTCGTGTCGTAGTCTACGGATTTGCATATATGGAAGTCGCGGTGAAATTATTCTCTCGCACACAGAATCTAATTTGGGCAAGTCTGTGGGCTTCGGTGGACATGTATATCCATTGATTCTACTGAGATTGGGTAATTTCTTATTCCTACAAATCTTGTAGCGATTGTGGCAGAGTCTGAAACTGACGGGAAATATGGTGCCAAATAATCTGCCATCTGAGAGGTGATCGGCTTCAAATCCCGTACAAACCAGATGCGATCGCAAACATCGCATTTGTGTCCAAATTCATTATCGGAAAACATGCGACGGAACTGAATTGTGGCACACTCCCATAATTGAGTGTATGTGAAACATCGTGTCAGCTCAACTTCACCTACAGAAGAATCGTTTTGACTTGGCTCGTCGATCGATGTTGAAATGTCGTTTCATTCGTTTACTTCCCTGCGGGCATCGTCAGCTCCAGTACCACGAGACACGACCGATGAAGTCTCTCGGCGACGCTTCCGATATTCAGCTGACCTCTGTCAATTAACATTAAGAGATCATTCGGAGAAAGCATTGAAATACTCGCGCCTCGGCGCATTCCAATCACCCCCTCACTCTCAATAAAAACAGAGTTGATCGAACCACGTTACGCATCGTCACTCTCCTACTGTGCGACGCTAAAAATTCATAAAAGTAAGCGTACGACTACTCAAGACCAAGAAATAACATGGTGCCGTGACAAGGAACGAATCGTGCCTACGTGGGGAACTGAATTTCATCAACGTCAACCGCAAATCCCCCACGATGACTGAAAGAACTCAACACAACGCAGACAACCTGTCCGATCAAACGGTCCAGCAGAAAGTTCTCGACGAGAAGACCATAAAGAAAGCACTCAAGAGAGCCCGATACAACAGAACGGTTCTTCGCAACCAAGTGAGAACGGAGATTTCCTCAATAAGAAACTTGGGTTCGAGTACGCCGGAATTTCTCGCTGACCGTGTCCGGGAATCGTTCTCGCTGTCATCGGCGAGCTCAGGGCAAAAATTAATGCCTGGGATGACGAGATCTGGAACCTACTCGATGACGACGGTCAGCAGGAGAAAGAATTGGCTGAGGCGTCTCAGTTCGACCTGGAGATCTCGGAGTCTGTTGCGAAGATAACGGTAAATCTCCCTCAGCAAGACAGCAGCGGGAGGCAGAAACCTTCTATTCGACCCGTGTGCAAAAAGAGAGTCCGTTTCGGATCGGTGCTCAACCAGACGGCGGGCGAAGCCAGTGCTGATCAGCGAGCGTCGGAGCCGATCGAGGTAAAATCCCCGGTCAGTCAACAGATTCCGTCGTCGGTGGTTGCTAGACTTCCGCGCGAACTCGACATCTCGCCTGAAACGTTCTCCGGTGACCGTCTAAAATTTCGTTCGTTCATCACACAATTTCGGTGCTCGTAAACAAGAGACCTGATGCCGCACCGATAGAGAAACTCATGATTCTTCGAAAATATCTCAGAGATGAGCCGAAGCAAATCGTGGAAGCGCTCGAGCTCACGGATGCGAATTACGAGGTCGCACTGACGTTACTTGAGAACAATTACTCCCGTATCGAGACCGAGACCCAGAAGATTCTCACTGATCTGCGCAGTCTACCCCGGATCACGAGACCTTACGACTTCACCTGTGTTCGGAAATTCTTGACACTCGTGCAAGGGCATACTGCAATCCTTGCCGCAAACGGGATTCCGATGGCAAGTTACGCGTTGACATTGAAATCGTCGATGGAAGCGGCAATGCCACCTCGAATGCGGCAAGACTCCAGGGACGAGCGCAGATTAGAGGAAAAATTCCTGCCTGTCAACGAGACCCGTCCTGGGTCCTCTTCCGGTCTCCCTGCGAATGGCATCGATCAGATCGT